AGAAGTTTTTGATCCTTGCATTCCTGAACTCACATTCTGTATATAAATGTCTCCTAACACAGTGTCAGTGTGGTTTTTCTCAATGCCTTTTTTTTTTTTCTTTAACCTTTTGACATTTTTTTCCTCTTCTAGGATTGCTCTCACATCTGATGTTTCATGTCACACCTGAAACTCCTCTGTACCTCAAACTTAGAAAGGTAAGTGTGTCTCCGCTACACCCTCTGACTGCTGCCCAGGCTGCTCTCTGTGGCCAGCTGTGAGTCTGTGTTCTCATTCTCCTACGTTAGAGCACACGCCAAAGCTTCCTGCTCCCCACGGTAGAGGGGGTTATGTTCCAGAAAACACTTGCTCTCCGAGAATTTTCATTTGAGGAACTGCAGACCTTGAGGGAAAAATTACGGTTGGGGAATATGAAAGCCTATTTTTTACTCTTTAGAAAAATCAAGAGAACATGCTAAGAACTGTCATTGATATTCATATAACTTTAGAAATAAGGGGCACTATACAGATGCCTTTTATTTATCATGACTTGTTTACTAGAAACTTGTGATCTCCCTCCCTGACACTTAAAAAGATGTTTTCAAATAAAAACAAATTAATGCTAGGGGAAATTTGGGGGTATTATACTCCATTTAGAATCATATTTAGTATGTTGCATACATTACAATTCAGAGTCTCTAAATCATGCTGCTAAAGTCATAATGTGAGGTGATTCTCAATTTGCATATATTCTGTCCAAATTTCCTAAAATTATGAAATAAGTATGCCACTAAATCCAGTGGAGGTAACCTAAATTTGCCCCTAAATTTGAGGGAACTCGTGGTCGACAGGATCCCCAATATTTATCAGAAGTTTTGATTTTTTTATTTTTCTCCATCATACATATAGACATTATGATTTGTTTTAAACGCCTATTTCAAAATAATGACACCTAGTCATTAAATTTCATATCCAACATTTTGGTTGTTTTTCTCCTGTAACGTGTATTAGTTTTCTGTTTAAGCCCATTGCCTTCTTCACCCCAAAGGAACCCTCCCCCTATTTTGCAGCTTTAGTGCTAACAGTGTTGCTTAACCATAACTTTTGGCCTCTCTCCACATATTTTTTTGCAAAATGTCCTTGACTGTAATATGCCATATTTTTTTATTCCAGTCTTCTTTTTAAGTTTTCTTATATCCCATCTTACACTTGAGTTTTTTTGGTTGTTTTTTTTTTTTCTCCTAAACTAGATGAACCACTTCCAAATTTATTTTGTTCTTGGACTGACTTCTAGAAAGGCTGTCCACAGCTGCTCCAGGTGAAGGGCCAAAGTGAAATATTAGATGTGTGTGTTTAAATTCCTGTTCTCCAAATGGTTCTAATTGAAATTAATCCACTTTCCCACTCATACATCCAAAAGAAAGATTCTAGCAAAATCCAAATGTGCCAGAATCACTTCTGTATATCATTTGGGTGACTTCATGATACCTGTAAGACCAATTCATGCCAGGCCTATTTGTAATTGTTTCCTCTAGTTAAATGTGACATTGCCATTAAAGGCACAGCTAATAATATTATACTGCTTAAGAATTTAAAAATCTTTCAAATACATGACATACAAAGTTTTGAAGCAGGCAGGAAATAATTAGAAACTTCTTTTACAAGTATGTGTTAGAATATGGAATTATGTCATGATCCAAATTAAAGAAAGATTATTGAAGTGAACCAATAATTCATACTTTCTGTTATATGTATTGTATTCTGAAACAGGTTATTAATATTTCCTAATTGTGAACTTACCCAGTGTATAAAATCATTCTTGATACTTATTAAACAGGCCACATCTACTTTGTAAATAAACTTCAGACTCTGTTCCAGTCATTGTGCCTCCATATGGACATATGTAATGCATAATCTTACAACAGCTCTGCCAGGTAGAGAGATGTAAGCATGAAGAGAAGTTAGGGAACTTGCTTAAGGTTACATACCTGGCAAGTAGCAGAGCAGTGTTCCGACCTAGAGCCATGTGACTCCAAAGCCGGTGCTCTTTGCACTCCACCAGCCCATCTTTCTTGGACTGCATCCAGCAGAATAGTATCATTTGGTTAACGTTTTTTAACTAACTGTAGGAACACAACCTAGTATTAAGTAGAGTATGCTTCTAGTAAAAGAATAAGGGAGAGTAAAACACGTTATCATAGCACTTTTAGGTAAGGAAAGTTACTATCCAAGAAATAGCATTAATTTTTTTTTTTTTTTTTTTACTTCCAAAAAATAGCATTAATTTTTTTTTTTTTTTTTTTTTACTTCCTTGACCCCCTGAACAAACAAAAAGTTAAAGTGAAGGCCGTTGGGGATGAAGGGCATCGGGGGGGTCATAATATAGGAGGGTGTTAACTATTATGGGTACAATTAATAAAAGCACATATCTCTATCAGTGTGTTTAAAATAGTGTTAGGAGTTATGTGTGTTTATACTATGACAAAGTGTACTTTATTTGGGGAGTCTTAATTGATCCATTATGTGGCATTTACCAAGGTAATTCTTCCCTTTTTGTTTGAGCACAGGAATTAAAAGTGATTCATAAAACAGACGCACACACATACAGTCAATGTGCAAATTAGAACCACAGTAGGGTGATCATCATTTTTTGTTGTTTCCCTAAAATGGTTCCCGTTTGCTAGTTCCAATTCAGGGGAGATTTAGAGCTCCCTGTCAACACTCAGTTTTACAGAGAAACTTCAGTGTTCAGTTTTTGCTGTTAGTCTTTTTTGTGCACAGCTTTAAAAAATTGTTTTCTGTGTTTTTTCCTATGGAATTACTGATTTTAATGTATAGAATGGAGAAATGCAGGAGCATAATCTGTCTGCCTGCTGTCTGAGGTCTCTTTCTATAACGCGAGCCCTTAGCATATCGCTCTTCTGATTAAAAACTTTCAGTGGATCAGTCAGGACTCTTGGTTGCAACTGACGGAAATTAATGGGACTATTGAAGAATTCCAAAGAGCCAAGTGACGGGAGCGTATTTGCGTGTTAGAAGCATCACTCTGACAGCGGCATTGTGATTAGAATGAAGGGATGAAGGGGAGCCAGCCTGAGAACAGAGAGACTGAGGAACCAGTAGGGATCTCGGTGTCCAGTACGTAGAAATGTCCCTTTACTGATAAGCTCTTGCCAGGCTAGTAGTAGTTTGAAGGAAGCCACATGAAAATTGAGTTCTGGCCAGTAGGGTGGGCCGGTCCCCATTGTCCAGCATACCCTCCACCGCCACTAAGTTTTGGGGCACCACAGGTCGGAAGGTAGCCTCCGGCACACGGCTGCCCCTGTTGGATGGTGAGGGTTGGGGCCGAGCCCTGTGCGTGCTCGTTGACTGCCCCCTCCTCTTTTCCATCTGGGCTCCCCCATCTGGTGTGAGAAGGGAAGCAAGTGTCAGCAGAGGCCAGACCCTTGGGAGAGGAGAGCCGCCCTGCGCTCTGGTTTTCCGAACCCTAACTTCCAAGTTCCCTGTCTGGGGGTTTTCTTCTTGGGCACCATTTAATACCAAATGCTCACTTTGCTAATAACCAAAGCAGAGAGGGGGGCACTGTCTTGGTCCGCCCTGCCTCTGTGATGGGGCACTTGCTCCCCAGATACCTCCTCCTCTCCCGGGTCTGTCTTCCCTCTGGATGCACCCCACATGCCGGGCAGACTTAGTGGGTGCTTGTGCAGCAGGAAAATGGGGTCCCCTATTTGCTGATTCTTCTATGTCTGAAATTCTTCCAACCAGAACTCCCTGTTCCAAAAGTCCTAATCTCGGCATACTGGCTGATACATCTTGGCTTATCTAGAATCCTCTCTGGTTTTCATCAGGGCCTTCATAAGCCTCATCCAAAGTCTCAGATATTCAGCCACAGAATTTAAATGGAATTTGTTTTGAGGACATAACTGACCCCAAAGTCCAAATCCCTGTAGACATTTGGTGTCACAAGGACCTACCATTACTGCAACATCTCTGAATCAACAGATTTGTCACATTTATATCTTTTCTCCTCCCCGACACCGCCCCAGTTTCCAGCACACTCTCATTTCCATCTTCTGGAAAGCAACAGTTTCCAGAACTGTTGGAAACAGTTGGTTTCCAAACTGATGGAAACTCCGTCCGGGCAGCTGGTCTGGGAGGCACGTCCAGGCTCAGAAGCGGCGGTGTCCTGGGCCTCAAGATTCTAGCAGCACTGGCCTCTCTTTTCTCTTCCTAGTAGACTTCTGTTTTTTCCTTTGGTTTTTAAAGCAATTCAGAGTTTAAGATAAAGGCCTTAAAGATAACTTTCTCTGTCTCTCCCTTTCTAGGTATTTGCATAGGAATCAGAGGCGTTAATCTCGTGAGTAAACTCTCGACATCTGCACTTGTTTCCTTCCTTCCTTCTCTACCTGCCCCCAGGACTAAAGCACAGGACAGCTGCCAGGTCCCCAGCACCTTTGCAGAGTCCACACTCCTCTCTACAAGAGGAGGGGTGGTGGCATTTTTTGAAAAATAATCTGGCTCCCATTGTAGCAGTTGAAGCTAGTCTATAGCACAGATGCACATGAGTCTGTGATTCTTTGCACCTTACTCAGGCGCCCCTCACAGGTCTGAATCTCATTCCACTGTGTCAAGTATGCAGGAAGTACTCACTTTTGTATTCCCCATTCCGTCAACCTAGAGAGAAATTTCATTGCAGTCATTTTTAGGTATCTCCCTTTCCCCCATGGAGTGTGTGTCCTAGAATCTGGAGATTTCCCTGGCACCCGGTAGGTGAGGGCTGGTCTTTGGTATATGACAGTGGGGTAGTGGTCTCTTGAAGCCCTGCCTCTCTTGCCCCAGGCCTGGCCTCCCTGAGCACACCCACAGCCGTCCTTTAGAGGGTTCTGCCCTGCCTTGGGAACAGAGCTGTGCCAGGGCCCCTTTTCCTTTCCAGCCCCAGGAGCTGGGGGTGGAGGGGACAGTGTCTTTTTCTCTCCCTCTTACCGCTCTCTCCTTCTCTCAACCCTGAAGTTGGGCAGAGTCTCCTCACTGGGTTTAGATGTTAAGAAAGACAGACCGCTTCTGCCGTCATCTGGGCTAAAATACAAGGAATTACAAAGCCTGCACCTGTTTTAAATGAGCTAGAAAGGATGTTGGGAGGACAAACGAAGTAAAATTCCAGAGTTGTCCTGCTGCACTGATTTGGAGGCTGTAATGAAGGCAAAACATCACCCAAACA